AACCCCGACCTTCACAGAGGATGATGATGAGACAGTGCCCGCCACTGCGTCCTTGACAACCTGTGTCCGACCACTGAGGTACGAGTAGATCCATGTCAATGTTGAGTCAGAGAAATTTAGTTCTTTTAGTTTCTTGATCAGTAGTCTATGATTCACTCTATCGAACGCCTTTGAGAAGTCGAAGAAAACAGAGATTGTTACCATTCTAAGATCCACTGCCTGTCTGACATCATCCATCATCCTAATCAGACATGTTTGAGTGGAATAGTTCTTTCTGTAGGCGAATTGACATTGATCGCGAAGGTCCTCCCTTTCCAAATATCGATTTATCTGCTCGCACGCAACTCGTTCCAGTATTTTTGAGAGCGCAGGAAGAATGGATATCGGTCTGTAATGCTTTACAGATGTAGGATTCTTGATCTTCGGAATCGGGCAAACTAGAGCAGACTTCCACTGCGAAGGAAACTCACCACTCATCAGTGAAAAATTAAAAAGATGTTCCAAGATAGGTAGAATGCCATCGATGACCAACTTTAGCATTTTGATCGAGATGCCATCAGACCCTATAGCATTAGATTTGGCTCGTAGAATTGTTCGCCTGATCATGATGGGCATGACGTGCTCCCAGTGGAAGTCCGTATCTTCAAACTCGCCAGAGCAGATGTCGTCGATATTATTTTCATCAAAGCCGATTTCAGATAGCCCAGCTTCCCGCACAAAAAAGCTATTGAGATCCTCAACACTGCACGACAGACAACTGCCTGAACCCTTTGGTTTTATAAGTCCAAGGTGTCTTAGTCCACCCCAGACTTCGCCAGCTCCATTTGCACGACTGAAGACCTTATAATAGTAGTCCCTTTTAGCAGTGCGGACCATGTTTTGCACCTGATTACGCAGTACCTTAAAACGTGAGTAATAAACGTCACCCTTGCGTCTTCTCCAAATGCGCCTAGCCATATCCCTACTTTTCATGGCAGCGCGGATTTCAGTCGTGAGCCAAGGAGCCGGTAAATTTTTATAGCGAAATTGCTTCCACGGTGCATGAGCATCGTAAATATCCAGTAATTTGGCATTGAAAATGCCTATCTTTTCGTCCATATTGGCTGATAATAATAAGTCCGTCCAATCAATGCTATTGACCTCTGATACAAAGGCTTCCTCATTGAATCCGCTTCTATCCCTGCCCAGTACAACTCTCTCAGTCCTTCTTCTCAGTTTAACCGCATATTTGATGTAGATCAGATCATGAGCCGAAAGAAAAGCCACCCCCCGCTGTCCATAGTCAATGAGTTTCTCTCCATCGTCAATAATGCACAGATCCAATAGTGTGCTGGAGTTCCTAGTGTGATGAGTAGCTGAAAAAGGAACAAGATGCAAGCCCGAGCCTGTGACAAACGCTGATATTTGCTGACTATCATAAGCCACCTGATTCATATCGGCATTAAAATCTCCAACGATGACCGAATGTCTATAATCAACTTGCAAATCAAGGAACACACGGAAGAACTCATCCATGAAACCAATGTTGGGTGGACGATAAACGACAGCCAACAGCAATTTAGACATATCCTTAAACATAATTTCAGCGATAATGTATTCAGGCCTTCCCATTATTGATCCAGCAGAACTGACAAGAACAGAGGCCCTGAGTGAGTCCAACAAATAGAATCCTACTCCTCCTCCCGCTCTTCCGATCCTATCACACCTGTAAAGCGAGTATCCTGGCAACCTAACCATCACATCTGAAATCTCAGGTCGTAGCCACGTCTCCGACATACAGATAATATGAAAAACTTCTTGTGCGAAGTAATGTCGGAACTCATCAAAGTGAGCCATTAGTGACTGGCAGTTGACATGGCAAATGCAAAGGTCATCAAAATCAAGAACTGGCATTGCCTTACTCATAGTTAATATTCGCTACTTTTTCCTCGATTTTTCTGCCCAGTACCGGACAGCTCTTCCCGTCCACAGCCATATGAGTATGGTCTCCCTGAGGTCTGTGTTTTCCACAGTTAAAACACCTAGGATCCCGTTTTCTTTCCTTACAATCCTTCATCTCGTGTTCCCCCGCACAATGTCCACAATGCGGTTCGAGTCTGCAGTTTTTTGCTATATGCCCGAATGACAGACACCTGAAGCACTGAACCACCCTGACATGGTCAGCCAGAGGGCAAGCATTATAACGCAAATAAATTCGACCCAGGTTAAGAAGCGTTTTGCGAATTGCCGGAGTGACCTCCAGAACGCAGCTTTTAATATGTCTTCCCGATTTAGATTTAAACATGTATATGACCTTTACGTCTTCTACTGTTGAAACATTCAGATTCTGTGCAATAAGCTCGTCTCTAATTTCTACAGTCGACATTTCCTCAGGAACCCCATGAACGATGAGCCTTGGATTCATCTTAACGCCCTCTCTGATCTTGAGTCCAGCAGTCGCAAGTCCTGGGTGAGCCTTTATCCTGCCAATATCCGGTGACAGCGCCTCAATCCTGACCGCATTATTTTTAGCCAAAGTCATCCGTTTAATTTTGAGTCCGCATTCCGCCGGTTTAAACACCTTACACAAGGTCTCCTTGGTCACCTGAGACGAGGCAAACTTGTCCTTCTTGTCCTCATCCGGTACAACAAAAAAACTAGTAGTGTTGTCCAGCTCAACTATTGGACCGTGCAATAACTTTATCTCCGGTTTGGTATTGCTCAAAACGGAAGCATAAGACCCCTTTCTGACAGTCGACGTCGACGTACCCGAGTCAAGCGTGCCCAAATGACAGATGTCCTCCTTAAAATTGTTAGAACTCTTTTTTTGCAAGGCATCCAATTCTTCTCCGAGAGCCTTCCTTATATCGTCAATCTTCAGACTCGGGCCCGCAGTATTCGCATCCAGCATATTAATTAAAATAGTGGAAACCTCAACGAACGCATCGCGACACGCTCGAAATGCCCCTCAATTACCGCCCTGTTCGCAGCTGTCTCCTTGCTCACCAGAAGAGCCTTAGCAATAGCATCGCTATGCCTGTTTATTGTGGCTCCTAGTGCATTTACTCGCGAGACATTCATTACGCTAATACAAAATCTATCTGACATACCCGAAATCAAATTTTCCGCAGACGTTTGTTTGGCCAGTCCCCTTATCTCTACGCCACTGTGCTCGCTCCCTCCAGCGTCGCCGCCTATGCCCTTGTCCATATCCCCGACTCAAGGAAGTAAACAAGCAACGCTTCTGTGACAGATGATCTAACGAATTTCCAACTGATGAAACGAATATCCAGAAAATGAAAAAATCCTCCGAGAATCCAAAGCTAGGTCACTTAACAAATAGGTAAGTCAAGCATATGGCCTTAGACAGACTGCAAAAGAAAAAAGAGCAGGCCCCAAAGGGCCAAAAAGCGGCAGAAAACAGACTATATTACGGAGCAATAATAAACACGTCTGTAGAGACTCACCTACACACAGAGAGAGGGAAAGAGGGGGAGAGAAGAGAAGAAGGAAAAAGAGAAAGAGGGAAGGGACTCAGAGAATTGTAAGGTCGCAAAATAGCCAGGCGAGAGAGGAGAGAAAAGAATAATTATGTATGTAATGGGGAAAGATAAGTGGGGAAAGGAAAAGGGATAAAGAATAAAGGAAAAGATTAGGAAAAAGGAAGAAAGGGACCAGAGAAGTGGTGGAGAAGATTTGTTTGTATGTTAAAGGTTCATGAGAGAGACAGGACAAATAGAGCGGAGGATTGGAACAGAGGCAGAGATGGGCGGAAGCAGTAGGATAGATGAAGAAGAAGGAATAAGAGAGAGAGGAGAGGACAATAAGAGGGAGAATGAGGAAAGCATAGCTGCCGAGGAAAGTACAGAAGCGGAAAGAGGATGGAATAGGAAAAGGAGAAACGGAAGTTGAAGAAAGGTAAAAGAAGAAGAGGCGGCTGAGAAAAACTATGTCCCAAAGAAAGAATAAGAGAAAGAGGAAGAGAGAGAGAAGACAAAGGAAAGGGTCAAAGGGACGAGAACAACTGTCGGAGAAAGTTTGGAAAGTTTGGAGAGAGAGGAGAGAGAAGGATATGGAACGAGAGAAGAGAGAGGTTAGAAGAAAAAGGAGAAAGGAGAATGGGGACACAAGAAAAGAGGTTGATGAGAGAGACAGGACAAAGAGAGCGGAGGACTGGGACAGAGGCAGAGATAGCCGGAAAAAGGGGATGGAAAAGGAGGAACAAGAGAGAGGAGAGGACAATAAGAGGAAGGATGAGGAAAAGGAGAACATAACTGTCAATAGAAGTCCAGAAGCGGAAAGAGGAAGGAAGTAGGCAAGAAAGAGGGGAGAGAAAAGGATATATTTATATGAAAATAAAAATGTAAAATGTAAAGGAATTGTATGGAGAAAAGAGAGAAAGGAGGATTGGTAAAGGGTTTGGCGCACTCTTAAAAACGCCCCAGAAATCTTGAGGGAACCCGGATTAAACATTCATAATTAAAATTCGATGAATTAAAATTATGTCAAGACATAATTAAAATTCGATAAATTACAATTATCTCGAGACAATAAAAATATATCGAGACATAAATTAGAGAATTAAAATTATGTCGAGACATAATAAAAATTCTGTTAAAATAAAATATTTTACTATTGATGTGCTGTGAATGTTTATATTATGGCGCGCCTATGGGATCTCCATTATCTCCATTTATGGCTGATTTAGTCATGCAAGATTTAGAAATGTCGATTCTTAACACCTTGAATATTAATGTACTATTTTATTATCGATACGTTAATGACATTTTACTCAAAAGAGTCTCGAGGAGTTAGCTTTTAGTTGTTTGGGGAGAGAGACCTGCATTTTTGAGAAGCGAAGAAGTTTTCTTTTCTATGCTGGAGGTCGGGTTGCGTTTAAGTTTTCTATAGACATTGTGGTCTGAGAGCATGGCTTTGATTTTGTCGCAGTATTTATCTTTGTCCATAATTTCCAATTCCAATTTCAAGGAGAGTTCTATGAACAAACCTCCGGAGCAGCAATGGGATCCCCCATCTCACCTATCATTGCAAACATTTTCATGGAACATTTTGAAAATAAAGTCCTGAAAAACGCACTTCTCAAACCCTCTACATGGTTTCGATATGTTGATGACACTTTTGTCATCTGGAATCATGGCAAAGAAACGTTCCCTCAATTTCTCGACTTTTTAAATTATCAGCATCGCAGTATTCAGTTCATAATGGAAATAGAACAGAATAATCAGCTCCCCTTTTTAGACGTGTTAGTTAAAAAGAACGACGACGGCACCTTAGGCCATCGGGTTTATCGAAAACCAACACATACGGACCGTTACCTCCATTCCACCTCTCATCATCACCCGGCTCAGAAGAATTCTGTCATCAGTTCATTAATATACAGAGCCTTAACAATTTCTGAACCAACTTCCCTGAATGAAGAATTAGAACATCTCAACCAAGTCTTGACCAAAAATGGGTACAACACCAAAGACATCCATCGAACAACTGAAAGGCTGAAAATAAAATCTCCAGTTCTACAAATATGAGTGCATCAAGTGAAAAAGAAGAAGAAGATAAAGAGGATAAAAAATGGACGATCCTTCCGTATCTTCAGGGTACAACAGAACGCATTAGCAGGATCCTGGGTAAACACAATATCAAAGTAATTTCTAAACCTCAAAATAAGATTGCGAAAATAAGAAGAACTATTTCTAATCCCAAGGACCGGAGACCACACTTAGAAACACCAGGTGTATACAGGATTCCTTGCTCCTGCGGAAAAGTGTACATAGGAGAAATTGGGAGAAAAATCAGTACACAAATTAAGGAACACCAACGGAGTGCCAGGTACTGCCATTTTAGTCAATCAGCCTTGGCAGAACATTGGATGGAGACGGGACACTCGGTACAATACGACAAAGCAACCAGACTAGCCCCCTCGCAAAGTTATTTCGCCAGAAAACATCGTGAAGCCCTAGAAATTCTGAAACATCCCGACAACTTCAACCGCGACAAAGGTTATCAAACAAATCCTATTTGGCACACTGCCCTTAATATACATTCACACCACTAGGCGGCGTCATTACGGAATACTTTTCCGTAGATGAAAAACCTCCCATAATATATATAAGGACCACAACCCAAGAAAGCTCAATATCGGAGCTCTCAGCATTAAAGATGCAAACTGCAACGTTTGCGAAACGTCGGCATTATGCTGTTAAACCACGCGGCATCCATCCGGAAACCTTTTGCATTAATAAAATATCTTATTTTAATAAACTAAATGCAATAGAATCAAACAATACAGAAAATAGTAACAATATTACGGAAGATATAATAATAAATTTGTTGCGATACTTTACATTGAAGGAATCTCAGAATTAGTCGCGTTGGCGATCAAAAAATCTAAGATAAAAATAGAATATTGTTGCATAAAAAGACTAAGTAGTATCATTATAACGTTTGTATTGCTTTGTAGACAGCGCATGTGAATAAGCAAATCCATGCTTTTTGTCCTTGCTTTAAATATATAGGTTCTGCGTAATCGATTCCTGTGACTTCAAATATATTTGCTTTTTTTACACGTTCGGTTGGTAGTTTTCCAGTGGTGATATTTAACCTTTTGACTTTGTATTGTTTACAAGTTAGACAACGATTTATGATGGATCGTACAGCTGCTTTACAAGAGAAGATCCAGAACATTTCTCGCAGATTACTTATTACGATTTGAACTCCTGCATGACAAAGTTGTTGGTGTTTGTACTCTATTAACTTTCTAGTTAGAGGATGTTTTTGATTCAGTATAATGAGATATCGAAAATCGTGTTTATCTTTGCGGTTAATTATAGACGTTTTTAGTCGTATTAATCCATCTTCATCCTTGAATATATCCAAAGTGCTTAGTTGTGGTTTGCTTATGTCAGTGAAAGGTTCTTGTTGACCTAATTTTAATACTACGAGTTCTACGATCGCAAACTCCTTTGCTGCTATTTCTTGAGATAATCTTGCGGTATGTGAAGTTCGGCAGTTTTGGATAAAACGAAGAATCCAGGCTATGGTACGCACTATTTTTAAGTATTTTGATTGCTACATATACCAATCTTCGTTTTGTTGTGTGACAAGCATACAGACCTCGCTTGTCAAAGTATTATTTTTGTGCGATGCGCTGCTTTTTCATTTCGCTGTTAACCTCAGTGTATATTCCATTGAAGGCCACTGATCTTTTTAATCAGTTTGAGCCATGCTGATTCCTTCCACCATCACGATTTTATTAATTGTTTTGCCTTGCATCTTCGTGAAAGCAGGTCAGCTAGATTTATGGTTCCAGATACGTAACGCCATTAGTGTGGTTCTGATAACTTATGTATTTTCTTTGTTTGATTATACACGAAGGTGTTCCATGCTTTGTCTTTGTGAATCCATGCTAGAACCGTTGTGGAATCTGACCAAAAGAAGTTTTGGATTTTCCCAATTGATAGTATTTTTTGTTGAATGACGTAGACGAGTTTCAATTGTTGCGGCAAATAATTCCAATTGCAGAATTGTTGTGTGCTCTATCGAGACCACCCTTGTCTTGGCCTCGATAAGTTATACGTAAATTTTCTTGGATCCTTCTGTTCGTGCAAATAAAACCGCAGCATACGCATCTTGACTTGCGTCTACAAATACGTGGAAAGACATTGTGACGTGACGCCTTTGGAGCGCCATCACAAGGGCGGAAAGCCCGACCGGGTAGGACGCGACGGTCTGGAGCGCCCCTCGTATCGGGGAGAATGCGATCCGTATTTTATAAGACCTTTTTTGCGAGAATAAAAGTTACGCGCAGCATCGACCTGTCGATGCTGACGACGACGGTCCGAGAGGACGGCCGGGAACCATTTTGTGCGGCAAGAGGAAGCGAGACAGGATGTACCAGGATACCACAGCAGCATGGAGAAAGAGATTGAGCAAGAGTGAGGGAGAGCCCGGGACCTCGCGCAGATAAGTATCGAGTGGCCGAAATTTAATTAAATATCTCTCGCGCAATATTAATGCAATTGACCTATTATAGAATAACGCGAGGACTCTGAGCAGTATTGACCACGGGGCATATCCTGGACAGGGACGAACGGAGGGCCCGGCCAGCCTACCGCCTATTCCGCAAGAGGAATGCCAGCCTGAAAATTGGAAAAAACATCCTCTCGTTCAACGTTCACTTCTCCCGGCGAGAAGTTACTCTGACTAGGGGGAGAGTCCGGGAGACCCTAGGACCCCCGCCATCGACCCTATCATCGATGGAATGCACGAGAGATCGGCGCGGCGCTCGAAGTACCAAGGAGCGCAAGGCCCGGCTCTTCATGGTTCGGTGAGCTATACAAATGTGAGGGTGCCTCCAGATCCCGGCCTATACTACCTAAGGACGTCGGACTTCATCGCCGATTATTGTAAGCCGCCTCGCGGGTAGCCGTACGTGAGTGTTGGTTGGTGCCGTGGGTGGCGAGAAAGTAGAGTAATTACCGTAAGTACCGTATCGTCTCGTGTCGTCTTGTGCTAGAGAGAGCGGTCTCTTTCTCTAAGTATCGTTACCGCAGGGCCAGCCGATTTCGAGTTTCGCGAGCCGAGCTCTCTCCAAAAAGTGCCGCCGACAGTCAATTGTTCTGAGAGCGAGAATCTTCCATTTTTGTTCGTCGGTATATTCCGAGTACCGTTCTATGTCACGGTCGCCGTGCATGAGACCTTTGTTAATGATTCGATCATTAAATTTACGGAATTTGCGTGCAGTCGTTCTTCGCGAGTGTGATAATTATTTCGATTTTCGACTCGGCAAGAGAGTCGTGCGAGACAGTCACGAAATTGCCGTTGTCTTATTGTTAATCGTGTTTTTATCGCGCCGTGTCTCGACTCGTGTTTATGTGACCTCTGTGTATACCGCGTACCCGCGATAATCAGTTTGAACAGCCGAACCGTTTACCGAGTTTTTTTTGTATATTCCGTTATTATAATGCTGTTGCGAGATTATTAGAGGTTGTTAAATATTGTTATAATTAATGAAAATTCGATTAATCGATCCGGGTAATCAATCCCATCGTACCGAAATCTTCGCCTGTGTGTATTATATTTATCTGTATCTCTAGCCTAAATGTTACTGTTCGTCATATAATTATATTGTAAATTTATATTTATTCCATGTACAATTGTTAGTTCTAAGTGTCTGAAATATATCTGTCTATTTATGTCAACCTGTGTAAGTCTCTCTGTATACTTCTCTCTCAACCATAGAATAAGAATAATCTAGACCCGCGACTTACTGCCGAATTTCGAAGGGATACCTTAGGTCCCGTTTTTATTGCTACCGCGGCGCATGTAAATGCGCCTGGCGCCCAACTTTATCGTGAGTTACCGAAAGTACCTAAATACGAGTAGTTAAACTCTTATGTTACCGATTTTCGACGCTAACAATTAGAATATTTAAATTGAACGCTCCCCTATCCGAATTTGGTGTTTCGGAGCAGGAAAAGACGTTGCAACATATTGGCTTTGTTCTTTTCATTGTGTAAAACTCAACGTGGAACAGGTAATTCCTTTAGCGCACAAAGTTGTTCCCACTTGTTGAATTCGTCTTTTATGTTTTTTGGTACCTCCACGTCTTAAGTGATTTTATATGACCAGAATTTCTGTAACAACACTTTTGGTTTTAATAATACAGGACAAGCTATACCTATGGGATCGAATACTTGTTGAGCTGCAGATAGTATAGTCCTTTTTTTGTTGTTTTAGGTGTTATGCGTGGTCGAGTAGAGACAGAGTTAGACTTAATGTATTCTTTATCTTGTTTTAGTTTAGACTTAGTACTGTGTCTGCGCTTTTTTTGCCCGGTATATTACCAACCTCTTAAATCGAAATTGCCCTTCTTGGAATCGATAGAGTTCGTCTTCGGTGCTGATACTTATTACACAGTTGTCCACGTAGAATGATTTCAGGAGCTGTTAAATAGTTTTTCTCTTTTTTTTCATGTTGGTTTGCTCTAATATTTTTGTAAGTGATACTCTATAGTTTCCTCCAACAGGAAAGTGCTATTCGAGACTCCAAAAACAACTCTTTTATGTCTGTATATTTCTATTTCTTCGGGGTTAGTCTTTTTCCATCAAAGAAACCGGAGCACGTCTCTATCTTCCGGTGCGATGCTTATTTGTAGAAAGGCTTTGCGAATATCCGAAATTATGCCGATTTTGTGTTCTCTGAAACGCAGAAGTATGTTTGGAATTTACTCCATTAAATTAGGTCTGTTTCCATACATTGATTGAGTGAAAGATCATTTTTTCCAACAGCTGACGCATCGAATACGGGTCTAATCCACGTAGTGCTATTTTCCTTGATCACGCCTGTGAGGAAGGTAATAACTTTCTTTTGTCAATTCTCTATTTGGAATCTTTTCGATGATATCTTCTGAAAGCCATTGATCGAGCACTCCTTGGTAGCTATCATAAAGACCTTGATTCTTTAATTTCTTTGTAGAGTCAAGTCGACATATTGCAGCATTCTTGTTATCAACCAATGAAAAATGATCTTGTTTCCACGGAAGCAGCACTTCGTATTGATTATTCTAGTTAATCTTGATTGTTTGTCGAAAGTTCTCTTTTACTTTAGCTTGATGTTCGTCTTTGGTTTTCTTCACAACAGGATCGATGATGCCCAAAATGTCTAATCTCTACAGTTCTTCAATTGGTGCTTCTTGTACAAACATTGACATAATCGTGAGAATTATCTTCCTTTTTACTTGTATATTCGTTTTTCCTATTAGCGTCCAACCAAGTAATGTTTCCAGAACTACGGTACCGCAACTGAGTTCTCTTCGCGCTCCAGTCAATAGCTTTCTTGCGATGTCTGCACCTATTAACAGCGTTATTGGTTCATGTCTCGTGCCAATATTAGTAAGTCGTGTCCCCTTTTGACGTAGTTTTTGCGACCACGGTCCTGTATTTTTAGAGGGATTATTCTGACATATAGTGTTCTGATTCAGAGCCATGAAATTGAAATTACAAGCATACGATTCGCCCAAACTTTTTACTGAGATTTGATAACTTTGATGTAATT